CACCAGGTGTCCTGCTGGAGTGCCCCTGAGCCAGAGAGTCACTCTGGATAATCAGGAACATAAGTGAATTTAAATGTGGCTTTATGCATCCAGACATTCAAATAGTGACGTTCAACAACAACAAAGACAAAACCTAGGTTTACATGCGCACTAGTGTCCTCGACTTCCTTCATCTTGTTTGGGATACGATAGTTACATTAGAACAAAACGGTCCAGGTTTTTGTGTTGATGTTGGTCTCCGTGTGGTGAAAATGTTCAGTTTCCTCACCACGAGGACCATGACAGTCATATGATCCACTGATCAGGGTTTGAAACCAGGGGAGCTACATGGAGCTCTCTCGCAGACATTTGAGCCCTTTATGAACACTTTCCATAAGTCTACATTCCTGCAGACTTCGCCCAAGGGAATTACCCACAATTCATAGCAATGTGACGTTAAACACGGGGCAGTAGAAAAAGGTAAACAAAGAGGCAGGTGTGTTCAGCGTGGCTCATCACATTTACGAAGAAACACTCCGGATTAAAGATGGAACATAAAAACACAGGAAATCAGGAATGGAAGCAGAGATTATATTAAAGAGATTTATTCAAACATTTAATTTAGTCATTGAAGCGGTTTTGACAAAAACAAGTAAATAGATGATTTGAAACGATCTCATCTTGCGAGGAAAGAGCCTGGAAAACGTTCAAATCAGGGAGTACAAAGTTAAAATACCCACAATTGTACACATATTTTGATGTTGTCGTGGTTAACGGGATATGTTGCAGCAAAGTACTGTCCCATTCGTATTTACACCATTTCAAGCCCTCACAGTCTCTCACACTCAACCACTCACCAGGTGATGTCATTAATCCATGAGGGTTCAGGGTTTAAGGCCTTAGGGGGGGGGACATTGGGATCAGGCCATGAGCTCCCCAGAAAGCTTTTTTTTGAGAAATTTAGTCAGTGCTAAAATACCTGAACCCTGAAGAGATTTTAACTTTTGTTTTTCCGTCTTCTGCAGATTGCATTCACACTTCAAGTGTTTGTCATTTGTAGAGATTATTCTGCTGAACAAAATGTCTTAGTATCACAAACGTTTCTTTGCCACAGAGTTTATTTTCTGCAATAATCCAAAAGGGAACCAGAGTGATGCGGACTTCCTGGTTGGCCGACAAAAACATGTCCTCCATGCACCACTCCATCAGCTTCCCCTCTATGGGATAAATGCACACTTGTAGTTCCAAAGGTTGAGCAGAAGAGAACACTTTCTTTTGCACTTCATTGCATTTTCTCTCATTCAGCAAATGGACGAACCACTTTGCAACAGTTGTCAAACATTATACAGCTTATTTGTAAAAATTGTGGCGACCCATAATTTAGCGCCCCTGGTGGGAATTTGCAGTATATTTACTAATAATATAATTATTATCCCTTTCAGATTCCGGTGTCGTAAAAGCACATAAAAAAAACAATTGCCAACATAGGAAGGAAAAGATGTTTTGTTGTGACTTTAATGCAACAGATTACAAACGGACAAACTAAAAGTAAAGTAAATGAAAAGATGTTTTGATGAGGTCAGATGCTGTTTTAACTGTTCTTCCCACCTTCCCGCGGCTCCATGTAGCTGTCCGGTGGAAGCAGCGGGCTGAAGCTCAGCAGCGGCAGGTCCACGGGCGGGTAGCGCTCCTTCACCCGAGGCCAGCTCTCCCTGAAGCCTCGGGCAGGCGGGGGTGGGGGGGGCAGGTCGGCGTCATCGTGGTGGTGGTGGTGGTGCCGATTGTTGTTGGGGTCAGGAGGAGAAACGCTGCCCCTGCTGTGGCACCGAACCAGAAACTCCCCCCGGTGGTGACGTTGGTACAGCAGGCCGGTGGTCGCCAGCAGCATCAGGATGAGGAAGCTGAGCAGGAAGAAGAGCACGTAGACACCTTTGGTCTCAGCAGACAGGCCTGAGCTGCAACCTGCATGCAAACATCATGAAGTCAGCAGCTGTTTAACTGGACTTGTTATTTTTGTTAAATGAAGTAGTTCACTTCACCTGCAGCCTTCACATCAACACAGACCGTTCCTCCAGACCCCAGGCGGGACTTGTCCTGGAAGCCCGGCCTGCAGCGGCACGAGTACGAACCGAACTGGTTCACGCAGTCGGCGTCGACGTCACACAGCACCAGCTGAGTCCCACACTCATTTACATCTGAAACACAGTTGTTTTTACACTTCATTTGTTCGTGTTTACTTAGGTCATGTTTCACCAGGCTTCCACCGCCGGGTCTGAAAAGTGAAGACAATGCTGAAGTGTCTTAAAGCTGCATTCTCTCTAATGTCCAGCAGGGGGCGACTCCTCTGGTTGTATAGAAGTCTATGAGAAAATGACTCTACTTCTCTCTTGATTTATTACCTCAGTAAACATTGTAAACATGAGTTTATGGTCTCAATCTCTAGTTTCAACTCTTCTTCAACACAGCATGATGCTCATTTAGTAAATTATGGTCCATTTAGAGTCAAACAGACCATAAAGAAGGGTATGATTTAGGGCGGGGCTAAGACTTTCACTGGTTGCAAAAAAACTAAGATTGTTACACGACGCTTCAAAGCAGCAGTACAAAAACCAATGGGTGACATCACGACAACTATGTCCACTTCTTATGTAAAAGTTATAGCTTTAACGTCCTCTTAGGAGGTTCAGTTCCATGTGTTAGTTGCGTTCCACCACTGGTTTTGAGAGTGTGCAGACTTGGTACGTTTACTATCGACGACTGCTCATCGGCACAGATTTGAGGTCTCTGTACATTACTTGAGTGTTTCCAATTCATGACACCTTCTCTTGCGTTTTGAGGGAAATATTGTACTTTTTACTTCATTACATTTGACAGATTTAGTGACTTTACAACTGAAGATGTTTGCACTAAAAACACATGAACTTATAAAGCTTATAGAATATGTTTTGTTATTAATTAAAAACAGCAGAACAGTTTATTGGTGTACTGCTGAAACAAGTAGGATTGACAGAAAATTAATTGCACTACTTTAAAAATTGTTGAAGTAATTGTTCACATAAAAACGTTCCGAATTCACAAATGTTAAGATTTGTGGCCTTTCCTTTAGATCATTTAAATAATTGTTATGTATATGCAGCAATAATGTTGTTTGGACAAAACAAACATTAGGGTCTGAATACTTCCTCCTCCACTGAGGGTGTGAACACACGTTGCCAGTGTAAATCAAGAGAACATTCCCACTCCGTTTCACAACGGAGACTTGATCCTTGCCGTTACCTGCGATCGACACAGAGATGAGGACGGCTTTCCTGTGGTTTTCACTGACGTTGATCCCCGCGGCGATGAGGCCCTGCAGGCGGGAGTGGACGACCTTGTGGACCTGCAGACCCTCGGGCTCCTGTCCAATCTGCAGCCAGAGGATGTACAGCACTCCTGTGCTCAGCCTGCCAACACACAACCAGGATGCATCGCTCATAGCGCTACCGAGCTCACATGTCGACAGATACGTGAACTAGTAAGTGGACCTTGAGTACAGATTATGTTTACGTGAGCTGTAGTATGATCATTTATCATTCTAACTGATGTTTTCTTTTATTGCACACCTCATCACATCTTTGAGATACTGAGGAGAGGATGCAAGTGAAGGAAACAAGGTTGCAAACAAGAGAAATAAACAGCATGCGAGGAGAGTTGTGCAACCTGACTTTGATTTGTTTTAGTGGACAGCTTCTTCCTCCAGAGGAAGAACTCGTGTGCTCTCTCGTTTAACACAAACGTACACACTGCAGGTCGCGTGTCAGCAGCGCTGCGAGGCCGTTGTGTACCGACCTTTTTATTCTCTTCGACGACATGGACAGCGGCGGACGCAGAGCCTTCAGCTGCTCGCTGACCTGCAGAAAACACAACGTCGTCACTGTATCTTCAGGCGTCAGAGATGCTCTCGTTTCTATCTAATAATCCCAACAAAAACCTGCCGCACGAAGCACCTTCAGAGTCTTTGCGTTGTAGTCACCAACGTACCAAAGCCTTTACCGACAGCAGCAGTGACCTGGACACGCTGTCCCAGGACTCCTCAAAATTCTGTCTGAAGGTCACTTCAAGAGCCACTTCAAACAGGTGATCTGTCGGGGAGACATGACTGTGGTGTCAAATAACCAAAACAAAGCATCAACAGCACTGTAATGCTCAAGATAACAGCACAGACACAACACCATGCACATGAATTCATCTAACATCTGATCAAGTCAAAACATGAAATGCATTCAAATTAAATAGACATAAAAAAAAAAAAAAACACTCTTTGTGAAGTTGTACACGATCAGTCCAATACTCACCGCCAGGAAGATGTGGAATTTCAGAGTGATTTCTAATGGTGACTACAAAAGAGAAGCACACAGTCAGACTGATTTAAGACGTGAACGATACTCGACATCAGCGTTATGCTCGTGCTGAGGTACAGTAGAATACAATTGCAAACCAGTCTCAGACGAAATCAGGTGGGGGAGAAGAGCCCGGTCGACTGACCTCAAACACCAATAAGCTCTTCATTTAAATGCACTCACGGTTCCCTCTGTGGTCCGACAGCGGCTCCACCATGTTGGGGTGAGGATGAGTCTGCTCAGTCTTCTCTGGTTCGGAGGGGACAGGGAGCTGGTCTGAGGCCTCCCCGACCTCCGTGTTGTTCACACCTTCTGCAGACCTCTCCTCCTCTGGAACAGCAGCTTCCTCCTGATGTTCAGAAGCTTCCCCCGGATGTGCAGAAGCTTCCTCCACATAAATTTGTGTTGTTGGAGCGGCACCTCTTCCAGATCGAGAGATCCCCTGTAAGGATACTGGCACTGTGGACACGGCTTTGGTCGGGTAGATGTGGCTGTAGATTTCCAACTCTGGAGGTTGATTTTCACCCCACTGAGAGAACAAAGAGCAATTAATACTTTCTAAATAATTCAACACACTTATGGGTTTTGCTGCTACAGCTTCACTCGCCAAGCATAGTTGGTAGAGCCGGGCTTTCTCACTGCTAGGGCCCAGCGTTTGATTCCCACCTCAGTGTTTGTGTCCTCCTCGTGCTCCAGCTCAGCCGTCGTGGCTGAAGTTGGACCATAATAATCGTACACAAGATCAGTATCTGGCAAATTTGAGTCCATCTGTTCTCCATTGGTGACAATTTCATCGAAGTCCATGAGTTCAGGAGATGGTTCCGACTTCCTGTTTGTCTCTGTGAATCTCTCCTGTGGGTTATAAACCACCAGGGGTCCAAACGCTTGGTAGCGGCCATAGAAGCCCCTGTAGGGGGGGCTGGGCCAGCCGCCGATCAGCAGCACCACATACAGGGTGTTGGAGGAGGAGATGTACTTGGCCTCCCGCCAGCACTTCTGCAGGACATTATGACCCCCAAAACCTCCGGCGGGCTCGTCCACGTGGATCTGGTCCTCTTTGAGGGAGCAGCCGTCATCGGGGGTCAGGTCCTCTAAGTAGAGATGGATCCTCTTTGCAGGATCCACCCGGATGGTCCAGTTGCACCACAGAGGCGGGTTGGAGCACAGGTAGTCCGGGGAGAAGAACTCGCCGGCGTCGCTTTGCAGCAGCTGTTGGCAGCTCCGCATGGCGAAGAAGGCGCTGCCGTCACCTCGCCGTCCATCTGAGGGAGAAACAGACCAACTGTAGAGAAACCAGTAGTTTTACCTCATTACAAAAGTATTATGAATTAGGGCCAACCATTTCCTAAAGCATCTCTACTGTTTAGGTTCAACTCTCCAGGTATAGTCTGATTCATTTCATATGAAAATCAACTTGAAGGGACTTCAGTTGAGTTTTTACAGTTTCGGGAAAGTCAATATACACAGATATCTTTGGATATTCAAATAAAGTATGAAGGTTCATGTGGTTACGGTGGTGTGTTGTTATGATTTTAGTTATACATATAAATGCATTTTGGACAAATCCCGGCACACCCTCTGTGATCATTGAGCGTGGAAATATCACAACATTCACGGTTAACATCTTAGTAAATACTGACATTTGGAAAAGGGACGGGGACCTTAACTTTAACTGATGCTTTTATAAAAATATAACTTTAATAATAATAATAATCCTCTATACGGGTCTGCTCTTATTCCTCTCCGGAAGAAGAGGAGTAACATTTACATTTAAAATCCCACAAACACCTTCTCACCTGGAGGTTTGTTGGCTTCTTCACTGTTCACCTTCAAGAAGAAGAAAAGCAACACACATGAATTACACTACACCGTTTTAAAAGCAGGTACATGCAAACAAGCTGATTTCACAGCCTCACCTGAGAGTCGCAGTGTTTCCAACAAAGACCAAATATCAGCAGAAATATGAGCAGCACACTTTTTAAGCTAAAGCTGTTCTTTCGTGGCATTTTACTACAAGAACTCTCTTTAACTTCTTAAATGTGTGTGTAAAGGAAGTGTAGCTGATCCTCTCAGCTTCAGTTAAACTGCTGTTTTCCTTTCGCGTGTGAGCAGGTGAAACTCATCAGTGAGCTGATTGACTTTCTTTTTGTTGGATGTTTGAATCAGATTTGTCCACCAGAGGTCGCTGTTGGTTTTCACATTCGGTCTGTTCATTCTGCTCTTCAGGTAAATACTCAAAGTTTACTACGTAGATGTGCAGCAGTGGAAAAAGCACTTTGTTTTACAGACTGTATATTCGTACTAGCTGTTTGTGTCAGGAACCATCTACAGATGGAAGATTACCAACTGCTGTATAGAAGACCATAAATAATATAAAAATACGTTATGTTAAAAACATCTGCCAACAGCACTTCTAAGCTAGAAAATGTGTTTATAATAATTAATTCATTAATGCAAGATATTTACAATAAAAATAAATTTAAGAACAACAATGTAAAGCAAATGCTTACCTGTCATCTGTATTAAAAACAACATAATCAAAAATAGGATTAAATCTATTTAATCTTCATCAAAACTTTATTTATCAAAAGACAAAAACACATACAAGACACAAACATGAGCTTTTTCGTTCATTTTTTACTATCTGGAAAAGATTTATGACCAAAACAATAGAGAAACAGACTTGACTCAGAAAAATCTGTATTATTTGAACACAACTCGATGAACTTCTTATTTAAACACGCATACCGTGTATACAAACACAAATACCCAGGATGAATGCTGAGAAAAAGCAGCAACCGCTGGGATGCTAAAACCGATGAACACTGAGCGTTTCACAGTTATCGTACGAATGTAAAAATTCTAATTAGCAAAGTCTTTCTGTGTCGTCTTTGTGTTGCTAAGCAGAAATCAATGTGAGATCATCAGTTCAGAGGTTAATGGTTCAGAGTAGTAGTAGTACTGTAGTAGTAGTAGTAGTAGTACAATACCACAGTTCTACTTTACACACTACCACCAAATGTGATTTCAGCTCCCATCGTCCACGATCTCTCTGGTTCTGTTTGGACCAACCTCTAAATACAAATACATATCATATTTATATAATACTATACTACATATATTTTCTATACTACACTACATTTGCTATACTATATATCATGTTGTACTATATTACTACATTTCGCTTTATATTATATCTGATCACTCATGATTACGATATTATGCTGTTCCACATTCTATCACACTATATCATGTCAATATGTTACCGTTTTATGTGCTACATCATACTTCTATATGAATGCAGACAAACACTTAGTCATATAGTAGTTTAAGTACAACACTGGTAATAGGTACTGTGTGTATTTGTACCACTTGCCTTGTAAGTTTGAGTTTAATTGATCTTGCATAGTTTGTATTTTTATTCTTAGTTTATATACTTCTTTTATTTTTTATCTTTATTTTATTTAACTTTATTATTTTTATTTTAGCAGCCGAGTTTCTCCTTTGGTCAATAAGGGATTTATCTTATCTTACATCAGTCCTGGAAGAGCTGTAACCAAATATATGCACCAGTGAAATCCATATCTGTAAACCTTCTTTCTGAAAGCTCTAAAGAAATCTCACTTTTTGTTTTATTTTAGCTTCGTGCTATAAAATACAAAAGTGCCTGAAAAACAAGCAGAGGTGGCCCATTCTGAAGGGCGATAACGCTATATTTTATGGATATGGAGATACAGTACATCATCTATACACAGTAGGTTTTAACAATTATAACTGTCTTGACTCTCAATGACACGTCTTAAAGGGACAGTACACCTGAAAATCACAAATACAAGTTTTATCTCTTACCTGTAGTTTTATTTAGTAATCTAGATTATTTTGGTACGAGTTGTCTAGTTTGTTCGTCCGCAATATAATATACATGCTCACAACAAGGTCGGTGGTTTATCTCGAGTAACCGGGTCATGATTTCTGGAAAGACATGTTGCTGTTAAGTATTTTTTGGTGCTTTGAGCACCACAAGCCGAGTGACATCTAGTCCCAATACATTCACATAACAGGCTGACATCTCTACGTCCGATATCTCCCACACAACTCACACCAAAACAATCTAGATGAATAAATAGCACTACAGGCAAGAGGGAAAATATGTATTCTAGTAAAAATGTCGGCACAAGGTTGAGTACCTGCTCTGGAAGAAGCCAGTGATGGAGAGACGACGGGTTACGTGGCCCGAGGGAACATCTCGTTTCATTCAGATTCAGATAAACTTTATTATCCCACACGGGGAAACGTGTTTGGTCCAGTTCTTCAGACATGATGACACCATAAAGTCCACAATATAAACGCATACAAACTAAGACCACAACAGACTCGTAATAAAAACACTTTTGATCACGTCTTAGTTGTAGGCTATTTGTCCCGCCCCTCCTCCACTGGGATTGGACGGTTGGGTAAAAAGAAACAGTGAGGAGCGCAGCGTTTTTTAACCAAAGTAGATCGTTTTTCAACTCCCGGCGACCAGGAAAAAAAACCCGCCAAACGTTCAGCGTTCGAGCAGAATACGCAATTAGCGCCTCGTCACGCTGCTAGCGTTATTAGCATAGCTTGAATATGGAGCGTTACAAACATTGAAAGTAATCTTTAAAATACGCTGGCCTCGGGAGAAAAAAATCACTTTGGTGGACACGACCCCTAACATTAGCCGGCTAACATGCGAAAAGCTAGCGAGCTTACATGCTAACACTAACAATTGCTTGTTCACAGTTGGCATGCATGCAAGAATCTGGACTTTACTTTAAAAGGCTATTTTGCTAACAATAGAGAACTCGGAGGTTCTGCTTGGACTTGAGGATTGAACATAATTTTAAAAAAGGTTGTTGAAATCAAACTCAGCAGCGCTAACAAAAGATGAATGAAGGTGTTCACTGGCAGTCCAGCTCCGGTTGGATAATCCAGGACCAGATCCTCAACATCTCCTGAGGCGTCCGGCTGTGGACCAGCATCAGGCTCCGGTAGATGCAGGGGTTGTCCCTGTACTTCTCCTCGATGTCAAAAGTCTTGAAGCCGCTGTGCTTCTCAGGAGCCAGGCCTAGTTTTCTCAGACACATCCCCGTGTAGACATCGTCGATGGGATACAAGACCACCTGCTGAGATGCGATGTAGAGGCGTAGCGCCAACTCCCCCGAGTACAGATATCCTCCGCCTCCTGCGTAAGGCGGGTACGGCCCCACAAACACACTCTCTGGGACAAAATACTTGAGTTTCCGGTCTCGATGTGGACCGGCGTCTCTGATGACGTCGCCTATGAACAAATTCTTGGCCTTGCTCTCCGCCAGGCCTTCAAGGAGCTCAATAACTCGTAGCGTGTTGATTAAGACGTCGTCGTCGCCCTTTAGGACGTACTGGGCGTGGGGGCAGTTTTGGCCGAACCACTCCAGGAAGAGGACCTCCTTCAGGGTCAGGTTGTAGAAGGAGTCCCTGTAGTCCCATTGGAGGAGGTCTCTGTGAAGCTCCGCCTCGTGGCCCAGCATCCCCCGCAGGTCTGGGAAGTAGTCCGCTGACGAGGTGCTGCCAAGCAGGAACACCGTCGCCACGGTGCGATTGGCTAAGACGCCCGCCCGACCCCACGTCTCGCGAATGGCCTGCCGCCGGTCAAAATGTGGGGTCAGGGACTTGACCGCCAGCAGCAGGAAGGGTTTCCCGTCACAAACACGGGGCTGGTTTATCAGCATGGGGTACGTTCTGCAGCGCATGTGCAGAAGGAAATCCTGGAAGCGCTCCGGCAGGGAGTTGTAGTCCACGATTTGCGTGGGGACCCTGTAGTCCGGTTTACAGGGGTCTAGCGGCCCTGTGTCATTCAGCCAATCGGGCAGCTTGCCGGAAAATTCGCCAGACATCGGCGACTTGACGACGGGGTTGTGAATGAAGTCCAGGAGCTGCTGCTCCTTGTTCCAGAAGGATTTGCTCTCTTCCTGCTTGTGCCAAAACCTTGCAGGCTGGACTGGAACCCTCTGGCGAACGCTTCTGTCAAGCCCGAGGTTCCACGACACGCCCACCAGGACGCAGACGAAGATGTTGAGCGACATCATCATCACGCAGAACACCCTCATTTTTTGGCGCGCCACAGGCATGATGCCTCTTTTCTGCATCTACACAAAGAACAACAAATAAAGAAAAAAATCAATTGAAATGCAACAAGAAACGGACTCAAATCTGCAGAGTCAGGACTCACAACAAAGCCAGGATACAAAGGGACATTTGGAAACATAGAGACAGCTCGGTCGAAGCTTCTAGAGAGAATGAAACTGAAAGAATCTGGAACAGCGGTTCAATGGGAAGCTTGATTTCCCCCCAGTTTGGTTTCAGAGCTCAGACTTTTGCACACTAGGCCGCATTTCTTTATCTCTAATCCTGCAGGAACGAGCCCAAGAGCATTCCCCCCTCCCCCCCTCCTCCTCCAGACAGCAATCACATGTTTCCAATTCAGCCGGACACATGACGCCAGTTTACTGGCAGCAGTCTTTGTCATTGTCTGCTGAGCGACACAGAAGAGCACACACGCGTATTAATAAACTTGTTTCCTCGACATATAGAGCAGCGCAAAGCAAATCTCAAGTTACTTAAATACATGTATAAACTTTACAGTGTTGCCATTAACAGATGTATGCCGTCACTCAGACATCACCTGTGACTGGCGTGGAGATGATCGGTCAGTTGGGTCTGCTGGAGACTCGGACCTCTCCTGGCCTCATGTGGATGAGCTGCAGGGTGGAGGAAGACGACGTCTCCAAGGAGAACCAGGCTGCTGTTCCTGGAGCCATCTGGAGTTCAACACAAAGACACGTCAGCCAGGGGGAAACTTCTGCCATTACGACACCTGAACAAACCTGAACACGGGACAATAAAAATTTATTGAAGGGCAAATCTAATTTATTGCCCGCCGTAAAGCCTGGCCCATGTTTGCAGAGCGATATGACTTGTTATGAAAGCTATAAAATCATGCTCAGGTGAAGTCTTGATCGGCAGAGCTGATGTTAAAACCTTCCCTGATAATGCGCTATGAATATGAGAGTTGCCGTTTGGTTTTTACTGAAAGATTCTCAGAGGAAAATATTTTTACTGCACCACATTTATCTGACAGCTTTAGTTAGTTATACTTTTATGTATAGAAACACACAGCCTACTTAAATTATATGAGTACTACACTACTTATATATAGTACACAAAGTATCTAAAACTTGCTCCCCATTGACAAACTACAAAAACAAAATACTCAGAACCTCATAATATCATATGATAAAGGAGTACTTTACTTTTGATACTTTAATTTTGCTGATAATACTTCGGTAAGTAAGATTTTTAATTCAGGACTTTTACTGCTACATTTAGACTAATTATTTTATTTAAGTAAAAAAGGTCAGAGTACTACCAGCCGGAGGATAACGATATTAAAGTGTTTCATTTGAATATTGTCACTAATGAAGCTCCACCTTTGAGTTTTAATTTAATAATATTATAACATTTACCTCCATTGAAACTCGTATTTAGATTTAGTCATTAATCTAATGCGTGAGGTTGAAGCAAAACATTCACATTTGTCGTTTCTTATAATATTTCTATGATGTCCCCAAAGTTCGAGCACTTTCCTATGACGTGATCCGTACAGTAGATGTTACAGTAACAAGGTGAATAAACCCAAACTTCACGTTCATCTCAGTACGTTAAGATAAATTAAGCGATTAAACTCGGAGGTGACTTTTCTGTTATTTCCCTCATCGGTGCAACAAAAACACGTTTCAGTTCATTCTGAGACACACAAACCTCTCAGACGGGCTCCTCGCGTGCTCGTTGTGCAACAGTCCAGAGGTGCTCAACAGGCTGCAGCTTGTGCACCTGAGCGAAGGATCCTTCCAGGTGGCGCAGTTTTTTTTGGGGTTTTTTTGTGGGATCTGGCCTCGTGAAAATATGTTAAAACCTCGAATCCTCAAATCTCCGACGTGCACACCAAAATCACCTCCTCTGTTCCCCGAGTGGGGGGAAAGGTAAAACACGTTTGGTACAAGCGCGCGTCCCGGTGGCGTGTGGCGCGCGCAGTGACTCCTCCCTCAGGTGGAAGGCGAGCTGACAGCTCGGTGATGTTGGTGATGTAAACCGGGGCTCGTTCCCTCCATGCATGAACACCTCCAAGTCCAGTGGAAGGAGTGCGTTCAGGTCCTTTACTGAAGTAAAAAGTACTTACTTAAAGGGACAGTTCACCCCAAAATCAAAAACACACATATCCCCCTCTTACCTGCAGTGCTGTTAATCAATATACATTGTTTTGGTGCGAGTTGCCTAGTTTTGTAAATTTTATTTAATCATTTTAAAGTTTTATTCATCTGTTTTTCATTTTTTTTAATTACACGTCAAATGTAAGGCTTTCTTCCTATTATTATTTATTTTATCTGTAAAAAGAAGGTTTTCTGTTTTTAATTATTCTTAAATGTAGAGCACTTTGAGTTAGTCTGTATGAAATGTGCTCTATAAAGATTATTATTATTATATTCAGAAACCAGGTCATGATTTCTGGGATGAGACATTGCTGTTGATTTTTTCAAATATATATATTTATGGCACTTTTAGCACCAAGTGACATATAGTCACATTACATTAGAGAGAAGGTGACATCTCTACTTCTGATACCTCCAACAATCGGCCACTCACACCAAAACCAGCTAGATTGATAAATAGCACTATAAGGTAAGACGGAAAAAATATGTATTTTGATTTTGGGTGAACTGTCCCTTGTGATGGAAGATTTCTATGTTAATCGGGAGAAGAGAGAGTTGTTCACAAATCAATAACAAAGTCTTCAAAAGATTCAAAGTTGTCTTTGTCCATTTATTTGCTTGCAAGGGAAGAGTGCACCACAGATACTCATTCAGCTGTCTGTGGTGTGAGCTTCAACGAGATACAACATTCAGCATCCTTTTATACTGTACCTACAGAGGCCTCCGCCTCACATGACTCCCAAGAAGGAAGTGTCTAGTCTGGTCTTCTCTGGTTCATGCAGGTAGCTCAACTGTGAGTCGGTTGTGGTTTGTTCCTGTTTTAAACTAGCCTTCCGAGAAACAGAGTATGTGAACATGTCTTCAGTTAAAGTAAAAGTACTCACTGTGCAGTAAAATGTTCCCCGTCAGTGTTTGACTGTAATATCTGTTTCTGGATTAATATCACTGCTGCATTAATGTGTTTGTTACATTTTACTGCTGCAATGTTTTTATCTCCTTTACATCCTGTTGTCTAGTTTAATCTTCATCAATGCATCATGTTCTATAAGATCATCACGTGTTTGTAGCGTCTCCAGCTGATCCAAGAGTCTTTTTAAAGAGTTTATTAATCTGAAGAAGTAGGAGGATTTTATCAACACATAAAGGAACATTTCATCCTTCAGTTTATCACAAACATTCAACATCAACACATCTGGAGATACCAGGTTTAAACTGGACAGGAAGTAGTTATTTAAAGGAGTCTTTAAAGTCAGACAAATGTGGAAGAAAGGTACAATATTTGCCTCCGAGATGTAGTGGAGTAGTATGAATTTAAATACAAATAGAAATACTCAAGTGAAGTACAAGTACAACATGAATTTGTACTGAAGTAGTACTTGAGCGAATGTACTTGACTACCTTCCACCACTGCAGATTTCAGCATTAAAGCATAGTGTGAATACAGTTTAAGCGTCAGTCTTCTTAGAACAATGAGCTCCGCTCATGAATCAAGAGGGGAACTCAGCGCGGAGACTGGACTGTCTCATCACCCACAACCATCCCCTCCGACCCCGGGCCTCATCCGCGCCCAGTCAACGGCCAACGGACGACGAGCGGCCGACAGTCAGCGCAACGTGATTTCACAAAGACGAGAAAATATTCACATGGAGCAGTTTCAAAGCTCCAAAGGTGGACGGACGGAAACATCCCCGCACCCTGAAGCACCGGCAAATCCCGTTTGTGTAAGAGAGACATTACCGACCTTTGTTTCAGTACTTGAGACAATAGACAGTAAAACACGAAGGCAAACTTTTTGCATCTTAAATCATCTCAAGACAACTTTTAATCTTAATTGGCACAAATCTGCGTGTAAGAACATTTTATATACAGAATATTACAACAATGTCTGAACAGCAGTTGGGCTGCGTTTACAATCCTGTGGCACAAAAGCAGAACTGTGACCTGAAGCGGGGGTTTTATGGTTCAAACGTTACTGATTAAAGAGTTTCTTTATGGAGCTGATTTCAGCATTTTATTGCAGGTTAGGTATCTAGTCGATGTCATAAACATCGGGAGTGATGCAGCTTCCTCTCTGAACAGCCACAGAAAAGAGATAAAACACCAGTGAAAAGTTCCACATGCACAGTGAGTGTTGAAGTAGAGGAAGTAATGTTTATCACTGGATCATGCTCTGGTTATTCTGGCCCACAATCCTCTGCACAGCGGATATTTGAGCAAGAGGGTCAAAGTTCAAGGTGCAACGTTATGACAAAGTAGTATGTTCCAGCTGAACGCACACTGCGTGCAACGTTGCGTATTTTGTAAGAGAGTACGAGACTTGGAACGCAGACAACAGGCCGACTTCTGTCCGTCTAAACTGGACTTTGTCTGCTGCACTTCGAGCTCAATACAGACGTCAGGGGTTGTGACATTTCCATCGCCGTACCTCGTCATGAGACGGACCAGGAACTGAGCCTGTTCTCTACAAAGCCAGCAGACTCCATTGAAAAAAAAAAAAAAAAAGCTGATTTTACTTCACAGAACACAGGAGCTGCTGGTCTACCGCTGCCTCGATCGGTCGGTTAGCGTGTTTATTGTGTGACTTTGTCGTTTTAAATAGTTTGTTCGGATTCGCTGAAGTCACACGATAACACACACACAAACTAACCGATCGAGGCCACTTCACAAACTATCCCTTTAATGTGTGAACAGGTCGTCTCTGAGTCCGCGGGCCGGTGGAGAGGCCATGTTGGATCCATTCAGAGCGGGTCAGACGTCGTCTCTCGCACACGGTTTCAGGTGCGGTGAACGATTCGGTCGATGCTCTCCTGGATCTCGGACATGTTCTTCAGCAGCTGGTTGACTTTGGTTTCATCAAACTCCAGACACACAAACTCCGAGTCCTGAGACAGCGGGAGGGAGGAGAAGGAAAGACATTACAGCACACGCTATTTATAAGAGCAGACGTTCAGAGCGTTAAGCTAAACAGGTGGGGTTCACTTTATTAGCTTTGATGGCCAAGTGTCTCTATTGATGTCAGTATCACGCTGAAACACAAAGCCTAATGTGTTCACCGCCTAAATGAGAATTAGCAATAATTAGTCACGATAGATCAGGATGTGGGAGAGGTGAAAGATGGGGTGAGGTGAAAGGTCAATGTCTAAAAATGACTTCAATTTAGTTTCAAGATCTTCCTCACTGTCAGAGTTTTGGGTTCATTTTGTAAAAATAAAGTCCGATGAAATCTAAAAGGTGAAACATGTAACACCAAAGTATGTTTTACATTTTGTACTAGCAGTCATTTGTGTCTTCATCATTTCAAGTGTTAATTGTTAAAAGAAATGTGAAATGTTGTTGTTTTCACAGTAACTCAGTCACTAGTTTGAAAACAGCAACACAAACTCTTCTCACTGAGCTTCACTGTGTTCATTACTATTTAAAAATGAATGAAGTTCTGCTGTAACAGGAGGGTATCCCATCTGCCCCGTCACCGTGTCCTCCGATTGTTCTCCAGAATGGACGTCACGCCGCGGTGATCAGCTAATAGATCCATGTCTCTCAGCTCAGAGTGTGAGACATTAAAGCCATGATTTTATTTATTTATGAGGATACAGAGGCTCAATAATCAGGTGACTATAAGAAACAGAAACACGTATATACTGATAATAATACAAACTTTTAACATAATCAGGGCTGCAACTAATGGGTTGCCTCCTGGTTCATGCAGAAGTAAATATAAACAGTTTGGCTTCATTTCCGGTCTCATCCAGCTCCACTGGTATCTAAGCCTTTAAGGACACCTTGATGTTTAGTGTAACACCCTCCACCTACTTCTGCAACCTTCAGGCTATAATTAGACGTGAACTAATGGACCAATAACAGTGTGTGTGTCCTGCAGTACTACAGGACGATACAGCGGACTGATAGCACGCTGCTTCCAGTCTGCTGACCTGCTTTCTCTGAGCTGTGGGACCTGCAGATCGGATTCACGGAGAACCGGGACACACTCCTGAAGAACAAACATTTTCTTGCTTGTTATTGGTCAAGTTGATCTCTGGCTTTGGCTGATAATCAGCAGATGCTTTGCTGCTCTTGTTTCATTGCACCAAAAATGTTTTTTGTTTTGAAATGTTCAACATATTAAGAGTAGCAATGCTTTGACGTCATTATCCTTTGGGAGGGGCTTTGAAAGGGTTTTCAGCCCAGGACCCAGATTGAGTAAAATTAGCCTTCTCATGGGACCCAGGCTCATTAAAACAGACCAGTAATCCGTCCAGAGCCAGAGCCAGAGCCAGAGCCAGGCCTCCTGCTTTAGTGCAATCTATCCCCAAAGCCAACGCATGCATGTTGTCTGCAGTGTTTACTGGTATTTAAACTGCATAAAGATGTTTGTTTGGGAACTTTCCCTTGTTTTACCCCAATTATTCTATCAGCAGGATGGAAGTCAACCAGGCGGCAAACTCCGGGTCTGAAAAGTGAAGCCAGTGCTGAAGTGCGTTTAACTTGCATTCTCTCTACTGACCACCAGGGGGCGACTCCTCTGGTTGTGTAGAAGTCTATGAGAAAATGACTCTACTTCTCTCTTGATTTATTCCCTCAGTAAACATTGTCAACATGAGTTTATGGTCTCAATCTCTAGTTTCAATTATTCTTCAATACAGCATGATGTTCATTTAGTGAATTATGATCCATTTAGAGTCAAACAGAGTCTAAAAGCAGGGTATGCTTTAGGGCGGGGCTTACTGTGATTGACAGGTCGCTACAACGGCGTTGTCCGGTCTGGGAGTTGTATTTTCGTCTTACAACTTTAACATTGTGTTTTCAGTTCATGAAAGATAATTGTAACATTTTCGCCTAAAAATTGTCTTATTCAGCCCTGTACTTAGCTCCACCCTCTCGCGTCACTTCTGGTTGCAAAAAACCAAGATGGCGACGGCCAAAATGCTGAACTAAAGGCTTCAAAACTGCAGTCCAGCGCTGCTCCCTCAACATGCAGCAGTAGAACACGGCGGCTTCACTGGTGTGTTTCCAGCATCGATGTGTGACAGTGAATGAGGAAACACCGTCAGCCTCACCTGTCCGGCTCTGCCCAGCTCCAGCTCCATCAGGGCTACGGGGCCCCCGTGGTCTGCGTCCCCCCGGCTGGCTGCGGTCGGGAGGTCCACCCTCCAGGAGAGGCCCCTGAGGCCGGGCTCCCAGCAGCTCTGAGCCAGCAGGCTCTCCCTCACCCGGACTCTCTGGCTCTTCCAGAAGCGAGAGAGGGCGGCGGCCTGTTCGGCGGTCAGCCCGCCGCCTCCCTGCCTCCTGGTCTGGGCAGTGAGGAAGGCCTCCAGCTGGGCGTGGTCCATGTCGGCCGTGGCGATGGACTGAGAGGTGGAGGGGGAGAGGAGGAGCATTAAATAATGTAATACACATAGATAAGAAAATCTATCTAAATAAACACCAGGTACTGATACCAGGTACTGTATGTTAGTGCTGCCCCCTGCTGGCAACAGGAGAGACTCACAGAAAGACTAATGAATGAAAACACATCAGTTTTAATACACCCGTGACCTTCGTGACATATTGTACTGTAGCGACACATTGCATTTATAGTGTATATTATTTATTTATAGTACAATATCAGGAAACTGCCTGCTGTGTTACTTCCAGGATGAAGGCGTTGCATTACCTTTAGGAGGCCTTTCATTCTCTCGTGCAACACCCTGAACTCCTCGTGCGACAGCTCGCGGTACAGCTCGTTCTTCAGCAGCTCCTCCGTGATTTCCGTGTTGTTGTAATAAACGTGTTGAGCTATTCCACTCAACAGTCCGCTCAGAGACTTCGTCGCGTCCACATCCGCCATGTTTTCTCTTCTCCGTGAAGTCACATGAGTGACGGACGGATCGTATCACGTGAAGGACGTCACGACGCACGGCATTGTGGGAGTTGTAGTTTTTACAAAATATATTTATTTACAGTGCCAGAGCAGGAACTGTTATTCGTTTATTTTTCACATTTCTCCGTACGTAAAAAGTATACTTAATATAACAAAACAAGACCTACCAGAATCTATGTATTCCATACTGGAAGTATTGGAGCAACGGTGACTTTATTTTGAGTTTTGCAGGGTTTACAAAGTAATATGTGCTCCTCACAATTCAGTTCAATAATTTGTTTGTATATATTTTATTGCAGTCACAGATATCTGTTTGTTTTTTTAAAGACAAATCCGAGCAAAGCTTTGTAAAGAAAACAGGTCATTTCGTCAACACTGACTCCTGAAACGTACGTGTATGGGATCACTGCACTTGTTTATTGAAGTGCTCTACTTAAGAAATTCAACATTTTTCGAGGCAATTGTTCTTGTTACAATGACAACCTTCAAATGTTCCCGGATTTGCAAGAAAAGCAAAAGATCTCACTCGTGGTTATTTGTCTTTAATGCAGAAGAAGATCTTCCACTGGACAGCAGGCCTTGCTTTCAGCCCTTTTGATGGGAGGAACTGGTGTTCGCTGGGAGTCTGGTGGTTCAACTGAACGAACTTCACACAGGGACTGATCAGGCCAAGGAGAGCCACACTGTGAGTGTCTGCTATTAATTCTTAAGTCTCTGTAACTGACTGAAGAAATATTCAGGTGTCTGATTAAAGTTAGATTACCAGTCAACTAACTACAGGGCTCTGCTCTACGCTTACATTTATATTGAGGGGCCTCCACATATAGCACTGCTGTATTGCAGACGTTCCAAAATGACTGACACACAGAGAGACCACAATAGATGCTTAGCCAAGCTTTAATCAGAAAGAACAGAACAATGCTTTAGAAGTGCAGTGACACATGTGGGAACAAAATTCTGTTGGACTGTTTGAACTCTATATTCACCCCCACATATTATTTTTTCTTTTCTTTTTCGAGTTGGGTTTGCTCAGGCAGGTGGAAAACAAGTCCATTCATAGTTGTTCTAATCGCAGCACAGAGGTGCTTGGTGCTTGGTCATTATCTGAAATGTATTAAGAACTAGAAAAATCAAGATCAATTCTGCCATTTTGCTCTGGCGCAGATAAAACACACTGGCTGTACTTTTGTGGAGTAGTTTGGAAACTGGGAATCCTTTCAGTATCACTGCCACTGCAGGTATTAAGAGTTTTACATGGCGGAGAGCGAAGTTATTAAATCTATTAAAACACATTTTTATTAAGCATGCGGTGCTGATTTGTCTCAGTAAGATTAATTGGGCTGCTGCTCAGATTGTTGTTACCCGTATCATTGCAGGCCACGTTTGCTTTGCTTCCTAACCTTGGACCCTTTTCCTCGTCTGCCGCCTCCTCTACCCTTGCTTTGCTTCCTAACCTTGGACCCTTTTCCGCGTCTGTCGCCTCCTCTACCCTTGCTTTGCTTCCTAACCTTGGACCCTTTTCCTCGTCTGTCGCCTCCTCTACCTTTGCTTTGCTTCCTAACCTTGGACCCTTTTCCTCGTCTGTCGCCTCCTCTACCCTTGCTTTGCTTCCTAACCTTGGACCCTTTTCCTCGTCTGTCGCCTCCTCTACCCTTGCTTTGCTTCCTAACCTTGCCTTCCCTCGTTCCTCTGCCACCGCCTATTCCTTCACTTATGCCTGTGGCTATCCCTCCACCTGGTGCTGTCTCTTTGCCTGTGTCTGTGCCTGTTGCTGGGACTTCCCTTGCTTCCTCGTCTTCGCGCTGCTCTTCATTAGACGAGGCATCGTTTGCCACACACGAGGGCGTAACATCTCCACCTGAAGAGCAGCTGGTGCACTGGAAAGGATCATGTCCGGGTTCATAACAGCGGAATATATTGTCGAGCCCGAGTTTAGAAATTGCAAGCTGCTTGAAGGATTCAGCCAGTCGCCACGTGTCCGCGGCAGGAACATCGGGCACTTTAGAAAACACGAACGCGTAACCGTTCCACTTCTGGACGATGGCGTTGACCTGGTCGGCGATGTCGTTTGCGTTTGTTGGGCAACATGGGGAATCTTCAGAGTAGATGACGAGGAAATGACCCTGGCTGCTCGCCATGAGGGTTTGTATGTTTTCTAGCACTGCCCGTGATCGTGCTGCTGCCACCACCCGGGTGCCCTGGTACACTCGACCCTCTGAAACAGCTTGTTTCACGCTGTCTGCTGGGTCACTCTGAAAGACTTGCTGAAGATCATTTATGTCTTGGTTCTCTGGGACGTTCACAGCCAGACTGAAGGCGCCATCGAGTGCATACCTGCCCAAAGGAAAACATTGAATGAGTATCGTGGGTTCAAGAGAATGCAAGACGTAAAATAATGCAGAACTTAAAATATAACATATATGAAATATTAAATATAATCATGTCTTTGTGGTAGACATGTGTACAGTAATTCCATAATGATCACAAAATGTTTTTAAATAGTTTCATTAAACTATTTATTATAAACTATGCCAGATAACTTGCATCACTTGATTGACTCTCTGGTCCGCCGTGTAAGTTGTGTTCGTTGTTCACTTATATTTGAATCAAATATTTAAATCGCTCTACGAGTTTGGCAACAATCAATTAGAATTTAGGTAAATAAATACACTTTACTAAGAGAATCTAACTGCATTAGTAGACTCAATCAAGTTTAGCAAAAAGACAGAATACAAAGAAATAAATATTGAAATGAATATTATATTTCTTTGACTGTGACTGGAATCTCCATTCCACACAGATGTTTGAATCGTAGAAGTAGAAGAGTAAAGACATAGATCTACAGTCTTTGTGGACTTACTCCTTCTTGATGCCTTCTATAATACTTGTGAGCCAGTTCTGGTCCACAGCAGCCAAACTGTCTCCAGCAGACAGGAAGACGGTCAGCACCACGGCCATCCAGCGCAGGCCAGCCATCTGCACACAGTTCAGGTTTAATAACACACAGCATCGTCACAAACCAGATAATAAACCCTCACCCTGTTTAGAGTATTCAACACAATGTTGGATCACATTTCAAATATTTTCTTCTGAGAAGAAGATTAAATAACTCACCGTTACCTCTGTTGCCAGCGGTCTCTTCTGGTTCTAACACTCTACAGAAAGGACACAAAAAGCAGGGACGAGCATTAAGAGCACAAATACTATTTGATAATCAGGGATGCAAAACTGAACCGTAAAAAAAAAAGGAACTGCTTAATGACGTACAAACTGAACCGTGGGCTTGTTGAACCGTTAAACGGCCTGCTAATTATTGGATGAGGGGCCAGAGACGAAGAAGAGACATTTATCTGAACATAGGCCTACTTGACCATTAAGTAGCCTGCCTTATTTCATGCACACAGACACACACACACACACACTTGTGCTGGGTGCTTCCCTCTCAACTGTGCATATTCGTTGTAGATTGTAGAGATTGCACTCCATCTCCGTTTCATTTTTGTGGTTTTGTTTGTTGCATAAACTATTACATTTTTTATAATTTATTGACTGATTGAAAAGTCAAAAGTAATTTCCCTTTTTCTAACAAATAGACATTAATATTTATATTTCTAGAAATGTTCAGAAATCTGTAATCAGGCCTTTTAGAAATCCTGCTAAATAACTAACAACCAGGCGTCTCCAGCAGTTACAAATAACAGAATCACATGTGCTCATGTCCAGCTGAAAGGATTAGTTGATGAATTAAATGTATTTTTCTTACATTATATTGTATTTTTACACGTTGGACTGTTGGCTACAAAAATGAATTCAAAGATGTAGTCTAACCTGTGCTTATCACTATTTTCTGACACTTTACAGAACAAATTATTAATCATAAAAATCATCAGCAAATGAATCACGAATGAAAAAGAATGATTAGCTGCAGTCCATTCATGTACCTGCTGTAGTGTAGAGAGGCCTCTGATGCTCTGCACACGGCTTTCTTCTCAGCGTTAGAAGGGAAGGTGCTGCCACAGTGACCACAGAGGGAACGCACATCTTTCTTTATAGAGGACATCGGACAAACCCCTCACCTCTCATCATACCCTTATTTAAACATGTCTTTCAAAAAGTAGGAAGAGGAAGATAAGAAAAAGGGTTTTATGTCAGCATGATTTGTGAAGCTGTGAAAGTGAGGCACACACGGGGGTCTCGCATACATGCCCAGCCGGGACTTACACATCATCAAAAATGTTAATTAACATTAAAACAAAGAATGTTTAACTCTGTCAACACGTCTGTGCTTTACAGTAGATGTCACATAGCAGAGATGTTTCTGTAAATGTGTAGTCTGATTTTAGAACTTTTATGACAGTAGACCTTCCAGTTCAAACACCATCATTTCAACACTTTTCTATCTTTATCCAGACTGTACACCTTTCCTCTCATGGTATTTTTTGTGAGTTAAGAATTTTTTTCTGCTTCTCTGTTCATGAATGAACCGTCAAATTCTTCTCAGTAGCCTTCAACGTACATAAAGTCAGTTCAGAGAACACTTTTACAGGACGATAGTAAAATATAAAGTTATTAAACTGAGGTGAGCAAGCTGGACAACAAACTATGTATAGAGGTCAGATTGTTGCTAAACACTGTATGTACAGTAGTCGTGGTACAGGCAGTAACCCTGCCATTAGATCTCTGCAAAATCTATACAAAACCATACGTGGTGTGGTTTATGAAACAATTTGAACATCAATGCTGGAAGCATGGCAAACTATTTGTATCATTGATTAACTGATTTACATGTGTCAAGACAAAATGATAAACATAGTTCCAGCTTAGAAAATGTGGATCACTTGCTGCATCTCTTTATCTGATGTGAGAGTAAACTGAACATCTTTGTTCTGTGTTTTTCCAACAAAACGAGAAATATGAAGACGTCCCTTTGGGCTCGGGGAGATTTTGATCATTTTATTTATAGAAAAAGCTTCTTCAGTTGAAGCTCTGCATTTAAGTAAATGTTTGGCACAAAAAGCAAAACTCTCGGCACCAAACACGACGTCAACACATTCGTGCTTTAGATCAGCCTCTGGATCATATGTCCAAGATGATGCTTCTTTATCTGTCTTGTACCCACAAAGGCGTTCATTAAATCGTTATTATGCTTCGTTATAATAGTATATATTTTATCAATTATATTATACAAGTACAACTGTGACGGTCACCACATAATTTTTGTGCCTACATGTGGAACTAAATGTTCACAAGCTTGTTGGTGCTACTCGGACCTTTTATTAACGCACAATAGTCCGTCTCGGTATGTCTTCCGGAGTTTGTCTGGAGGAAACGTCTCTGTGGTTTAGTGAAAATGTCTGAAGTCCAAATGATGAGATGTTTACTCAACCAGCGACTAACTGCGGCTGCTGAAGAGATATTTGGTCTGTTTGAAAGAACGATAGCAGAGTACGAGGAGGAACTTTCTGCTTTAAAAGAGCAGAACGAGCGACAACGGAAACTCCTGGACGCTGTTTTCAACCCTCAGCTGCGGTTACACAGAGCAGGTTGGTTCATTTTATTTCTTCTGTTCATGCTCCGGCTGATAACGTTTCTATGTAGTTTGGAGTGAGACTCTGTTCATTCAATGAATCTTTTTCTTCTTCTTCTGATCTGTTCTCTCAGCTTCTAGATGACAGGAAATATTTACACTTAAAAGTAAAGTTTGTTCTCTTTCATAACACCACGTGGATTTTGCAGCGTGTTGAATTCTAAAATGATTAATGTGTTCATGGTCACATCAGACTGCGTTCAAGTCAGCAGACACTTACATGTTAGTGCACCTATGTGCTGAAAATCACGGTAAACGCATTCAAACGGCACAGATCGAGCGAGGGAAGGATTTTGAAAGTTAGCGGAAAGATTACCGTGAGACAGCATCCGGTTTCTTCAGACGAACATCCGGTTTTCAGAATAAGATGCCAAAGTATACATATTGCATAATGGAAATGAGATTAAACTAATTATATTCACATGAAGTATAAAACATGCTACCTGCATCTTGTGAGTTAAAGGGAAAATACACCTAAATTGTGCGTAAAGTGTCTTTATTCTTTGACATGAGGGTTGCTGGAAATTAATAATACCTGACCCACAGTCAATTAAGATATTTTACTAAGCAAAAACTCTGAACTGATTCATATGTTCATGTCACACAAGAGTTTATTAAAATATTATATTATCTGGGTCCATTGATACACCGGAAAGGGGGTGCAGCATATGGCGGGACCACCGAACCACTCTCTGCAGTCAAGTGAGCCGTTATCCGCGGAACCTCGGTCACGTCAGCCAGCGCTTGAAATGTAATGCTCGTCTATTCGAGGTGCTATGGTACGGGTGCTTGGATAGCCCAAAAACCCCGGAAATAGACCCATATTTGATCGATAATTTGCCCAATTTGACAAAGACATTATTATTTTGTACATTATATGAAATCCAACAATAATATAATTTGAAGTTACACTTCTGTACTATCTTTAATACTTATCTTCTCCGCGAATTGCCACCTTAACGTGGTGGAGGAGTTTGAGTGGCTCAGTGATCCTGGGAGCTATGTTGTCCGGGGCATTAGGCCCTGGTAGGGTCTCCCAAGGCAAACAGGTCTCAGGGGAGAGCCCAGACTAAGAGCGGTTCAAAACGACCCCAATGAAAAGCAGCCCACGGACTTCAGTCACCTCGCCTGGACCAGGGAAACCGGGGCACCCTCCCGGAGCCAGACCCAGGAGGGGAGCTCGTCGGCGAGCGTCTGGTGGCCGGGCCTTCGCCCATGGGGCCCGGTCGGGCTCGGCCCGAATAAACAGCATGGAGCAGCCACCCTGTGGACCCACCACCCGCAGGGATAAGCATCGGGGTCGGGTGCAATGCAGGCCGGGCGGCGGGTCAGGCGGGAGGCCTGGGCAAGCCGATCGCCGGCAGCATAGACTAGCTCTAGGGACGTGGAACGTCACCTCGCTAGCGGGGAAAGAGCCAGAGCTGGTGCGGTACCAGCTAGATATAGTTGGACTCACCTCCACACAGCGCTGGCTCTGGAACCAAGCTCCTGGAGAGGGGTTGGACTTTGTCCTTTTCCGGAGTTGAGGAGGCGACAGACGAGGAAAAGGGTACAAGGTTAGGAAGCAAAGCAAGGGTAGAGGAGGCGGCAGACGAGGAAAAGGGTACAAGGTTAGGAAGCAAAGCAAACGTGGACTGCAATGATACGGGTAACAACAATCTGAGCAGCAGCCCAATTAATCTTACTGAGACAAATCATGGGAGGAGTTCGGGGAGGCCATGGAGAAGGACTTTCGGTTGGCCTCAAGGAGGTTCTGGCAAACCATCTGACGACTCATGAAGGGAAAGCAGGGCTTACCCCAGGCTGTTCTCAGCAGGGGCGGGGGGAACTGCTGACCCGGACAGGGGACATCGTCGGGCGGTGGAAAGAGCACTTTGAGGAACTCCTAAACCCGACCAACATGTCCTCTGCAGAGGAGGCAGCACCTGAAGATCTAGGGGGAGGCTCACCCATATCCCTGGCAGAGGCCGCTGAGGTAGTCAAAAAGCTCCTCGGTGGCAAGGCGCGGGGGTGGATGAGATCCACCCTGAGATGCTGAAAGCGCTGGACATAGTTGGGCTGTCCTGGCTGACACGCCTCTTCAATGTCGCATGGGGGTCGGGATCAGTGCCCATGGACTGGCAGACCGGGGTGGTGGTTCCCATTTTCAAAAAGGGGGACCGGAGAGTGTGCTCGAATTACCGGGGTATCACACTACCCAGCCTCCCGGGGAAGGCTTATGCCAGGGTGCTGGAAAGGAGGCTCCGACCGTTTGTCGAACCTCAGATTCAAGAGGAGCAATGCGGATTCCGTCCTGGCCGTGGAACAGTGGACCAGCTCTTTACCCTCGCAAGACTACTGGAGGGGTTCTTGGAGTTTGCCCAACCAGTCTACATGTGCTTTGTGGACTTGGAGAAGGCTTTCGACCGGGTCCCTCGGGGGTTCTTGTGGGGGGTGCTGCGGGAGTATGGGGTGCCGGACCCATTACAACGGGTGATCCGGTCTCTGTACGACTGCAGTAGGAGCTGTGTCCGCATTCTTGGCAATAAGTCAGACACGTTCCCGGTGGGTGTTGGCCTCCGCCAGGGCTGCCCTATGTCTCCGGTCCTGTTCGTGACTTTCACGGACAGTCAGGTTCGGGGGTCTCGGGATCGCCTCTCTGCTGTTTGCAGATGATGTGGTCCTGTTAGCCTCCTCGGATCGTGACCTCCAGCATTCACTGGGGCGGTTTGCAGCCGAGTGTGAAGCGGTGGGGATGAGAGTTAGCACCTTCAAATCTGAGGCCATGGTGCTCTGCCGGAAACCGGTGGATTGCTCCCTCCAGGTGGGGACGGAGTGCCTACCTCAAGCGAAGGCGTTCAAGTATCTCAGGGCCTTGTTCATGAGTGAGGGTAAGATGGAGCGGGAGATCGACAGACGGATCGGTGCGGCTGCAGCAGTAAAGCAGGCGCTGCACCGGACTGTCTTGGTGCAGAGGGAGCTGAGCTGGAAGGCAAAGCTCTCAATTTACCACTCGGTCTACGTTCCTACCCTCATCTATGGTCACGAACTCTGGGTCGTGACCGAAAGGACAAGGTCACGGCTACAAGTGGCCGAAATGAGCTTCCTCCGTAGGGTGGCCGGGCTCAGCCTTAGAGATAGGGTAAGGAGCTCGGTCATCAGGAAGGAGCTTGGAGTCGAGTCGCTACTCCTTCGCGTCGAAAGGAGTCAGCTGAGGTGGTTCGGGCATCTAATTAGGATGCCTCCTGGACGCCTCCCACTGGAGGTTTTCCAGGCATGTCCAACTGGGAAGAGACCCCGGGGAAGACCCAGAACACGCTGGAGGGATTACATCTCCCAGCTGGCCTGGGAACGCCTCGGGATCCCCCAGAATGAGCTGGAACATGTTGCCGGTGAGAGGGAAGTCTGGGTCAGCCTGCTTGGCCTGTTGCCACCACGACCCGACC